AGTAACTCTTTCTCAATACGCTCATAAGCTGGTGAATATGTATTAAAAAATTGACATATCGGTTTTTTAACCAAACAAATAATTTTTTGATATCTAAATCATGATCATGTTGCTCACACGTGTGATGTCAAATGATTGCAGGTTTTGGATGTTGATACTTGCTAATTACATGAGGGACAACAATTATTTTTGCCAGCTTGAAACGTCTATTGTTTATTGCCATTGTTTTTTAAACAGAGAGTGACTGCATTCACACACCAGTTATTGTCTACAACCATGGCAATCATCACAAATCTAGAATCACAAAAATGTATGCATTTTTCTAAAACCTAAAACATTAATGACATTAAGCTTCAGTCATTAAACAATTACCAACCAGGTTTTAGCCATTTTCTCTCAGATATGTTACCATCATGAGCACACTTGTTGAATATTGGGTCATTAAACCCTGTGTGTTTATTTGTAATGTGGCACAAAATAGATTTGAATTTTGCCCATATTAGACGACCATCACCATAGCTGGTTGTCAGTGCTGACCGAAACAAATGATTCTCAATGGGCCTGATCCATTCACCAATGATTCCCATATCTTTCTCTTTTGCAGCCTTTTGACAAAACTTTTCGAATTTCTGAAAGATGTTGAAAAAAATAGAGGATATGCATTTCAACCAATGAAATTCACAAGAAACAGGCAATGTTTTAACCTTAAAGGAGCTGGCTAGTATACAACAGTCTTGGTTCAAGATGTAGACTGTGCTATGATGTGTAGCTAAAGGAATTGGAAGGAACAGTAGGGCATCACAGTACATATTAGACATGAAAAATCAATCAAAAAAGGTATCTCAATCAGGATAACATCCTGGGTCCAATAATCCAAGTCTTCTGTCTACTCATGAAAGAAATGACACATGTTTTCACTCACTTTTTTTTATATGCCACAGGTCAAAATAGTGTTTTATGACCTTGTGTTTTTCCCGCATGAACTTGGCAATAGTTGAATGCCTGTCTGTTATTAGTTCAGATACATCCAGTCCTTTTTTCAGAACAAAGTTTAGTGCCTTTTCAAATCCAAAAAATTCAATTCCAGTACTGCTGCCAGCTTGATTTCGAATTTTAAAAATATTTGACTATCACAACTTAAATATCAATCTTAGTTTAGCTTCAAAGCTGGACAGCCAAAATTGAAGAAAGTATGCTGAAAAAATTCACTGGGACCTGATAAATGTAATTGTTTTTTGTGTAAATTGCAGTCAGAGCCAGTTTTTTCTAATTCTAATCTGCTTTTGAATTAACGCTTTTAACCATTAAATTATTGGTAAGTCTTACCTGTACTACTTCAGAGTGAACAATTGCATTCTCTGAACATGAGTATAGTGAATAAATCCCATATTTGGCACTATGGCCCATGCTATCATGCCTAGAATCACCCGCAAGCACAACTTTCTGGTTTTGTTTGACCTTTTCAATAAGCTTTTCTTGATACTGCTTCCAGTATTTGAAGATACCAGGAAAGAGTTTTGTCTGCAGAAAAAAGTTAGAAATCTAAATTATAAGTGAATATCTTTTAGCACAACGACTAGGAAGCCAAGAGAAACTGCAGATCGAGGTGCAAAGAGAAACTGCTGCTGGTCCAAGTTGTGCGAGGGAAGTTTATGGTGAAAATATTTTCAATGAGGAGATTTGCCGATTGAAGTCATTGGTATGCACAACAGTTACTTTCTCAAGGCCTATATAACAGAAGAATTCAAAGCTACTAGCAGAGGTTGACAATATTGAACAAGATATGGAAATTTGAAAACTTTTAGAATTGAATTACTGAAGAATTAACAGAATTAATGAAAAAATACATCATGTTATTATTAGAAACTCTGAATCAGCCTGATTGGAATGTTTGAACTTTCTAATTTGTTTCCTTATTTGTAAGGTCTGCCACATTTTCTTGGCACTTATCCTCAAACATTGTACCAGAGTATTCTTAAATTATTAGCCATCCTATCTACTATGTTCTTTTTTAGCCTGTTCCTTATTCCTTATTTTTAAATGGAGTAGCTGTAAAAATGTTTCTATTACTACTATTCTTGTCTTAGGTACAAGAAAAGAAACACGCTGCTCAAATAATAAATGTGAAAACTGTGAACAGAAATCTGAAGAATCAGAGACAACCAACAAAATTAATTGATTGGAGACATCGGTTAAAAAAGCAAATAAAAGAGAATAGATGTCTTAAATACAGAACTACCAGTAAGTACTGGGGCATATTTATGTAAAAATGGTGTATAGTGTGGATTTATTAGGAAGCAGACTGCTGATCGTTCAGAGCCTTTGTTTTACAAAAACAAAGAAGAGCAATGCATTTTTTATACTGGTAATGTAACACCATTACAATGTATTACATTATCCATATAAATGGGGAGCCTTTCGCTTATTTTGAAAAAGCTTATTTATGTTAGAAATTTATGATATGACAGAACATCTTATGTCTAATCACTTTTTGATAGCAAATTCAAGAGAAAGGGTCACCTAAGAAAAGCCATTGCTAGATTGACATCTTCTCATACACTCCCGATCAATTTTCAGATGAAATGATTTTGATTTCACTTCTTCAGAGATGGAAATATTCAATCTGATGATGAAATTATATCCCAACCATAACTAGCAGTGGATGAGCAATTGACTCAAACAGGCAACAAAAGTTTGATATCAAAATAATAATATTGTTGTACAGAGATTAAAAGATATGATTATTCTGTACCAATCTCTAAAAATTATCATCACATTGTTGAAATTTTAAGGCATAAATTCTAATTATGCTTTTTAAATGATGGTGTCATAAACAGGACAGATACATTGCTTTCCATATTTCAACTTATTTAACAAACATTTTTAAGAAACAGAATGTAATACAGAGTGTTTGTATAGCAACCATTTATTTAGCCATACAAGTTCTCCAGCCTGCATACCATTTATTTTCACAGACAATTAATGCAGAAGGAACCTTAGACACGCAACCAAGTTTATAAAACATTTTTGTCAAAACTGATGTTGCTGTTTAACATTATCATCTGTGCAAGGCAGACAAACCGTTAGTGGAGCCACGTGTTCAGAGAACAATTGTATACTGACATCGTTTTGTGGTGTGTGTGCAGAGAATATCGCTGCATAGCCAACCTATGATGCCTCGAATGAATCAGCTGCTGAAATTCCTTCTCTGTTTTAGCACATTTCTGAGGTCAATAAGCAGATTTTCAGTTGAATTGATTGGTTGCATTTCATTTGCTAGCATACTTCAAGCATCAAAGGGTATGTACTGTGTCACCTATTACAACACAGCTGATTGGTCAATTTCATATATTTATATATCGCCCTAATATCTCTCCAATGAATATATAGAGCACCTATAATAGCAAACATATGGAGTTTTTTAACAGGATAGTCTATTTTGGCCAACAATCTGGTGATATAAATTGTAGAAATGTTGTTCTAGCTAGCACTGTAATAGTTTCACT